CCTGAGTGTCAGACTGAAGCTCCCAGAACCTTCAGTCTGACATCGCCTCCATTGAAGGCGATTTACAAGGGGGAGGGAATTTGATTTTTCCCTAACCAATCAGTAGAGATCAACGACTCACCCAGAATCTGACGTCATTAGTATCCATGCCTCAGGGGTGCCGAAAACAAGCGAGCATTGCCCGTTTAAAATGTCTCCGTCGTCGTGCACGCCCAGCTGCATCGCCGTTAAATCCAGTTTAGCAGCTTCCTTAATTTGGTCCTCCATTAACACGAGTCAATAGTATCGTTAATGTGGTCTGTAGGATCTGCAGCGGTCGCCATTAGCGTGGCGCTGATTGGCTAATCGCTAGACCCGCCCCCACCCCTGGCGTTCATTGGTCCGTCCATCGTTTGGACGTGATAAATCGCAAATTCATTGCAGTATGCCAGACCAGAGATGCAAGCCTACTCAGTTGAGTGGGCGGGGTCTATGGTCTGGAACCAGGCTAACCGTGCATCTGTCTCATCCTCTAAATACGATATCTTACGAACGCCGTGAGGGAATTTCTATAAATTTTGCAAAAATTGTCAACTCAGACTCAACAATGAACTAATTACATTTTGGTGGTCATAGGTCAAGGTCACTGTGACCTCAGAGCTGTCTTATTTTTGTGAACACAATAACTCAGGAACACCTTGAGGGAAGTTTGCCACATTTGGCAAAAACACCACTTGGGCTCAACAATAATCTACTTAGATTTGGTGGTCAAGGTCAGTATGACCTTGCATCAGCCTCATTCTTGTGATCGCAATATCTCAAGAACACCTTTAGGGAATTTCTTCAAATTTGACATAAACGTCCACTTGGGCTGAAGAATAAAGTGATTGGAATTTTGTGGTCGTTCAAAGGTCAAGGTCAGTGCGACAACACAAAACATGCTTTTGCTTTTAACTCTAAAATTAATTTGCTAATTATGACAAAACTTCACACAAATGTCTTAAAGTGATGACATTTTATATCCAAAAGGTCAAAGGTCACCTTCACTGTGACATCATAATATTCTGCATTAAAGGGATAGTGCACCCAAAAATGTAAATTCAGCCATTATCTACTCACCCATATGCCGAGGGAGGCTCAGGTGAAGTTTTAGAGTCCTCACATCACTTGCAGAGATCCAAGGGGAGAGGAGGTAGCAACACAACTCCACCTAATGGAGGCTGACGGCGCCCCAGATTCAAACGTCCAAAAACACATCATTGAAACCACAAAATATCTCCATACTGCTCGTCCGTAGTGATCCAAGTGTCCTGAAGCCCCGACATAAAAAGTTGTTTGGAAAAACCTCATTTGAACTCTGTTTTTAGCCTCATTGTAGCCTGTAAAACTTCACCTGAGCCTCCCTCGGCATATGGGTGAGTAGATAATGGCTGAATTTTCATTTTTGGGTGCACTATCCCTTTAATCACTTTTCTTGCCAGTATCCAGTGTCATATCTCAGGAACAGAAGGGGAGACATTTGAACAGATACTGAACTGGTGACTCTAATCTTAATACTATGTTGACTGTACAGATGTTCTGTGCTGCCTGGTTAAAACTGTGTGTGAAATTCAATCCTTACAACCAGCACTGCACTATCACTAGTGTGTGTATTAACCTCGTGTATTCAGATGGCCCTGGTATCCCAGAATCCTGTGCTGTTTTCTGGATCACTGAGATACAACATTGAGTACGGCCTGAAGGACTGCACCATGGAGAAGGTGAAGGAAGCTGTGAAGAGGGCCAAGGCAGACGACTTCATCTCTGAGCTGAAGGACGAATATGACACAGGTACAGAAGTGGACATATACAGGTGTAAACAAAGGTGTTTGTTATAAAACTAATTAAAACCAATCAGTCCTGAATGCTACAAATAGTTTTCCTTTGTTTTTATGCCTCTGCACCAGTGATAGCCGTGACTGTGGGTCGTCTGTCTGTTCAGTATTTGTGGTCAGATACTGAAATGGTGACACTAATGTTGAAACTGTGCTGATTGTGGAGCTCTTGTGTGCTGCGGGGGAAGATGTGTGTGAAGCATCCATTTCTTTACAGACATGGATATAAACTCTAAGTATAACTTGACTGGTTGGTGGAGTAGTTCTAGTTTAATGTTATCCTGTTCAGGGTGAAGTATCTAATGCAATTGTTTTATTGTTGTTTTTTATTGTCTATTTAACGGCACTAAGGAGCCTTTGGCCTCGTCTCACTTGACCAGCCTCCCTTACTTCAGAATGGGAGTCTGGGGACATTGGTCTTTCGTTTTGTAATAGAAATGGGCGGGGATATCCAGACCACGTGATGGCGTTGCCATAGGTACGGCACGTGTGTTACATGTAACAGAGACGTTGCAGCTCTGCAATATAGCTGAATCAAATGAAGTTATATCCATTTTAATCTCTTTTTGCGATGCACTGAACGCTTCCTTTTCTGTTGTACTACGGACAACAATTCGGGGAACAGCAATTCCTGTGTAGGTGGGTGTAAGGCAAAGCTAATCAGCCATTGGTCGTGGAAGTATGGAAGTACACGGATTTGGATCCAATCACATCACTGCCGCTGGGAGCCAGCGCTAGTTCTATTACAACTTTCCTATGGGAATGTCCACAGACGACAGAGTCAGCCAGCGTGCTGACGTCATTGGTGTCTTTGTAAGAGACTAACCTTTGGCCCCAATAGGACAGAGCACTTATTAGCAGCTTTTGTAATTGATTTCAATGAGAGTAAAACTTTGTAGTTGCTGCTTTTGTGTTGCTGATTGCCTCATGAATTTGCAAGAGCGTTCTCAAGTTGAAAAACCGTCAACTCGGAGCAGAAAACGCCCGACGTCATTTGGCTTTTTTTCCCTGTTGTCATATGGGATGGAAGTCAGGCCTTCTGTGATGGTGATGACAACAAGATGAGGCAACATTCATGGAGGACAAACTAGTGGTGGTTGTCCATTTTCTGTGCAGATGTTTATTCACTTGGTACGATAACTAGATACTAACTAACTCACTGTTTAAAATAATACAGGGTACAGATGTGTGAGTTTACTTCACAGTAAAATACAGGTTAAGCAAAGCACAGGTGATTTGGTGGTTGTCCTACAAGAACGACTTAAAAAAGATGCGGCAAGCTTCTCTGTTTTTAAATTGTAGGCTCTGATGAAAAAATGCAGTATGGTGCGCTTTGTGATTTGCAGCCTGCTCGGAGCAGTGTCTGGTCGGAGTCTTAGTTTTTGCTTTTTGTTGTTTTAATAGTCTGTTTAAAGTGGGCGTCATATGCTTGTGTACTGTGTTTGCACTGTAGTGTGAGGGCAGAGAGATGAGTCACAGACTTAAATAAAGATAAAAGTTAGAGCTGCTTTCTTTTCATCTTGTGCTTGAGACATTTTTATGAATAAATTTTAACTTACATCAACACTGTAGGATGGACATTAAATATCATAAAAAAATCAGCTGCAGTTACAGAAACTGAAAATACACAAGTCAGTAAATGTACAATAGGAATGATGACATAAAGTAACATGTACATTTTTTACAGATTATATTTGTGTATCTAAACTGGTACAGATTGATGCACTGTGTCCTGTGAAACAGAAACTGTAACGGACATACCGTTGGAAATGAGTTAAATATTAATGTTGAACATACGATGGTCACGATAGATGTGATGTGATGGAAGGAAAGTCTTGGTTTACAGCTCCAAGTGTCCGGCTGGGGAACAAAGATCTATTGTGGTGATGTGATATTTCAGTAATGATTGATGGAAAACATTTTGATGTTTTTATTATCTGAATAATCTTTATGTCCGTATTTCATTTTACAGACATCGGGGAATGTGGTGGCAGACTCTCTGATGGGCAGAGGCAGTGCATCGCCATCATCAGAGCTCTGGTTCGAGAGCCGCAGGTCATCATACTGGATGAGGCCACCAGCAAACTGGATGTTGAAGTGCAGCATACTGTAAGTATAAAACACAGTCAGAGCATGTCTGTGTCACTGCTGAGACCCATCTTACACTGAGCAGACTCTCAGTGATTATATCCCCTTTGACTAACAGTTGTCTCTATTAAAGATGGCTCTGCTCCATTCAAGTGTCCCAATAAGCCGTGACAGTGAGTCAGCATGCACAATACCAGGAGCCTGAAACTCAAGCTGCTAAATGGAATTCAGCCATCATGAGTTTTGTTACTTACACCTGTGCTTTTCTGTCCTACATAAAGAGGCCTGGCCCTCCAGGTGCATAAACGACCTTAAGTTTCAAACCTGTCCACAGCTGTATGTTGCTTATCTTCAGTGCCGGTAGATCTGCAGCAAAGAACATGAAATCAACAGCAGAAACATCAGATAGGTCGGATCACCGTGTGTAACTGTTTATCATTAAACATTCCCAAGGAGACTCTTTCAGAGTCAAAGTCAAAGTTCATTTATTTGTCTCCCTTGGGAGAAATGTGGTTTAGAGACAGGGTACTGCTGCGTAAACAGCAAGAAACATACAAACAAAAATACGTAAAAGACAGTAAAACATTCAGCATTAAAAACATACTGGTAACCAGATAGGGACCAATGTGCAAAAAGATCTTTACGTCTGGTGTTAACTGTACATGTTTATAAAAACATGAAGTATTTAATATATCAGTCACTTGATTTGTGCCCAACATGGAGCAGATTAGCACGTAGTGTAATCTGAGCAGAAATGTACAATCTGTTTGTTTTGCTAATGGGACTGAGAGTGTCACACTGAACTGTTCCTTCTTTAACAACTTTGACACAAACCACATTTTTTGTTGAGCGTCTGTGATTTCCCTGCAGACATTTACAATCTCTACACACCAAATATTCACGACTAAACAAGCTGCAGCAAGTTGTTATCATCAGTCTTTGATCTTATCAACTCAGATAATCTCACTTCAGGACTGTGTGGGTGTGGTTGCTTCAGATTTCCTTCACTGTGATGTGGCAACAAAAGACAAACAGCGTCATTGTTACAGTTGAGATTGCAGCTACTCCACCCCCTTCATACGGCTGTGTGCCTCCCTTTGTGTGCGGCGAGCAGCAGAGCAAACAGTTTATGTGCTCAAAATGTCGTTTTTGAAGCATTTTACATTTGTTTTTGTAATTCTGTTTTTATTGGTTTATTAAGACAATATACAAACAAAATCCACAACCAGATAAACATGAAGAACTTTTGAGCGTGACAATAAGTAAATAGATAAAACTACATGAATAAAATAAAATGGATTCATTGAAATGAACAGCAGACAAAAGAGGAAAAACTTACAGACAGGAGTGCATTACGTATAGACAAGGTTATAGACAAATAATGGTGCTGACATACAAAGTTAGGTGGGTATAAGGGACGAGCAAGAAGGAAGTAGGACGGATTAAATGCAGAACGGAACAGGTATGTTTAGAGTTGAGTTTTGAAGGAGGTGAGGTCTGTGCAGCCGCGGATGTATTGTGGGAGGGAGCTCCAGAGGGTGGGGGCAGCAACAGAGAAAGCTCTGTCCCCCCAGGTGCGGCGCTTGGTCCTAGGTACAGGTACAGATACAGAAAAACTTTATGTATCCCCGAACGGCAATTCAGTTCCTACAGTCCACCGACAACACATAAAACATTCACACAACGTGATTTACAGTAGGTGTCAGAGGGAGCATGACATGACGAATGGGATCCCGCAAGAAACACACTGTACAAGGCAGTGTTAAGGGACTACGCAACAAATAACAAGATTACAATAACAAGACCCAAATAGGAACCCTAACAACTACTGCTTAAAAAGAAGTGCCTCAATATATTTCATCAATGAGTTCCAAGAATCAGAGATAAATAAATAAATAAATAAAAATAGAGCCAAATAGGCCTGTTGCACACGGCAGATACTGCAATCACAGTAACCCTGCACTCAGCAGCTTGACAGCAGAAGGAATGAATGACTTTGAATATCTGTTAGTCTTCCTCAGAGGCTGCAGAAAATGTCGTCCTGATGGCATTAGGGTGAATTCTCCACCCAAGACATGATCTTGATTTATTATGTTTTTTGCCTTTTGGAGGACACGTTCCTCCCAGACAGAGTTCAAGGCTGACAATTTTGTGCCAGCAGTTTTGGAGCAGACTTTTACAATGTTGTTTAGGTTGTTCCTGTCTTTCACTGTCAGACTACTACTCAGTACGGTGAGGAGGTTGGCGTCAGAGGAGCGGAGGGTGCAGGAAGGGGTGTAGGGGTGGAGAAGGTCTTTAAGGTAGGAGGGGGCCTGGTTGTGAAGTGCTTTGTGGGTGAGTAGGAGGATTTTGAATTGGAGGAGGAACAGAGAGCCAGTGTAGGTTCTGGAGGGCAGGGGTTATGTGGTCACAGGAGCGGGTGTGGGTGAGGAGGCGCACAGCAGAGTTCTGGATATAATGAAGTTTATTTAGGAGATTGGAGGTTGTGCCGTAGAGGATACTGTTCCAGTAGTCGATTGGAGATGTATTACATCTCCAATCGACTACTGGAACAGTATTATGCATTATGAGGGTTTCAGCTGCAGGGAAGGAGAGAGAGGGGCGGAGGCTGGCGATGTTTTTGAGATGGTGGAATGCTGATTTGGTGACTTGCTTGATGTGTTGAAGGAGAGATTGCTGTCGAAGATGACTCCAAGGTTGCGGCAGTGGGGGCAGAGGGTGGAGTTCTCAATAGAGAGATTGAAGTTTTTGGCTGCCAGGGTGAGGGAATTTGGACCAGTTATGAGTAAGTCTGATTTGTCGTAGTTGAGTTTGCGGAGATTTGTTTGCATCCAGTGTCTGATATCAGAGAGACAGTGGCTGAATGATGCGTTTCTAATACTTACTCACACAAAGTCAGGTCGAACATTTGAGACAGTCACTGTCCATTGTGTCCAGTTCTCAATAAAAGAATCCACCTGTTTCCTCAAATTTAAAGTCATTCTCTAAAAAGTAAAAGAGTTCTGGCAGAAGATTAAACAAGCTCTGGAGAATAAATATACTGGAGAAACGATTAACACTGGACCCAAAGTGTTTTATTCTTGATTTACATCCTGACAAACTTCTTCCATCCAAGAAAGATATTGCTGCCTCAAATCTCTGTCTACCACTTGCAAAAAGAGTCATCTCACTGTCATAAAGTTCATAAATTGGATTAAAGAATAATCCATAACTTGACCTGTGGAAAAGTTTGCAAACTATCAAACGATTAAAGCATGGCATGAACATAACAATATGGGAACCCTGTTTGAAAAACAGAGAAACCATTTTTTTCTTTTATTTTCTGTTTATTTTATTATGTCTAATTCTGTTATTACTGTTGTTTGCATTTTGTTGTCTTTGAAATGTCTGACATGTGAGGGAAGACTTCTTTTTGTTGTTGGACAGTAATTTCTGCATTTCATTTTCTTCTGGATGAAAAATTTGTGTTGCTGGAGTTTTTACCACCGTGATCTCACACATTTACATCTCCATTATCCTTGTCTGATAAGTTGTGCAGACACAGACTGCTGTAACTTGGTATGTCACTGTCTGTGCGTCTCAGGTGCTGCAGGAGGTTCTGGCGTGCGGTCGGACCGTCCTGGTGGTGGCTCATCAGCTGAAGACTGTGGAGAAAGCAGATCACATCATTTTCATGGAGAAGGGGGAAGTCGTGGAGGAGGGGACGCACCAAGAGCTCATGGCCAAGAGAGGACGCTACCATCGTTTGAAAGAGGAACTGTTCCTTTAACTCCGCTGAGAAAAGCTTTCTGCGACGATTTTAGGTGCAATAAGTGATTGGAATGTTAAGAAAAAAGTCGTCCTGACCTGGTGACCCTCCTGTTTTTCATCTAATAAGAATCTGTTGATACAAAAAGCATCTAGTTCATGAAGGGGTTTCGTCTGTCTGTTTCATAGGTGCAACATGTGTGCGTAAATGATGTCTATGTCTTAGAAGGCTCAACAGTTTGATGTCGTCACACAGACAAAGGTGACATTAGAAATAATTGACACTTTAATGCACCTCAAAGTGCAGCTCACGGGTCAATGGTGGCCCTCAGAAACATTTTGTGCAGCTCGCAATCATGACATGAAATGCATGCATTATATTTTAATCAACCACAATCCATTTCAGTTCTTTCACTTTCAGTTCTGACATTTAATACGCTCCTGAACTGCCCCCCCTCACAGGCGTCTGTCAGGTTATACTGGCCCTACACACAACAACTTCTCACAAACTTCCAGTGACGGAGTGAAATCATGAGTTTGTCCCTCAGCTGTCTGACATTATTCTACGTTTTTAGTCTTGGCCTCGTGCAAATACTGAAGTTCAATGACGTGAACATTGTCTGCAACCAACAGCTGCTCTCTCCAGCACCAAACAGGAAGCAGTAAACCAGGTAGACAGTAAACATGGAGGGACTCTAGGGAGACGCAAGAATGTGACCAAATCTCAGTTTCTTGTTTTGAGGAAAAGAAGGAGAAACTGGTGGAGTTGTGAGTGAGCAGGAGTCTGTGTTTAATTTGGCGTATTTCTGATCCACCAACCAGCACTTATTGTAGTGAGAAATATTAACAGTTGGCCTCTCAGTCCCACAGTCTCCTCCCACTGACATAGCAAAGCTAACCAACAGAGGCTGGCAGTGAGCTGAGGCAACAACATCCAAAATGTAAGGTTTGTACACAAATACAGTTTATCTACATGGAGTGTGTTGATGCAGAGTTTACAAGAATACTGTCCACACGTGGCGCCTTTTATCTTGTTTTACTAGAGTTACGTGTTTTTGGAGACACATAAGGAATTCCTAATTTTATGTTTTATCAAAGGGAGTTTTTAAAGTCTCCCAGTGTGTGGGAAGCATCAAGGATGACAACTTGTAGTGGCTCCTACCGTCGCAGGAGTTATGTTCCGTTATCGCTGCCAGTGCTGTAAACTGTAGTGGCTATTATCTACAGTTAGCTGCAGTTAACTACACTTAGCTGCAGTTAACTACAGTTAGCTGCACTTAGCTACAGTTAACTACAGTTAGCTGCAGTTAACTACAGTTAGCTGCAGTTAGCTACAGTTAACTACAGTTAGCTACAGTTAACTACAGTTAGCTGCAGTTAACTACAGGTAGCCATAGTTAGCTACAGTTAACTACAGTTAACTACAGTTAGCTGCAGTTAGCTACGGTTAGCTGCAGTTAGCTACAGTTAACTACAGTTAGCTACAGTTAGCTGCAGTTAGCTACTGCTCACACTGTAGTCAGACTGTAGTCAGACTGTAGCAGCAGAAGCACTTAATGTATTAACATGCTGTTTCTTTGCCTTGTTGTTTGTGACGTCAAGTTTCAGTGAGACAAAGTTAGGCAGTAATTTACACTGTGGGAGAAAAATGATCTTTGCTACGACAGGTAACCACGCACCACCAAGCGAAATGATCACTAGCAACTGTTTTCATGATACACACCAGTTCTATTGAAACATGGTGTGCTGCAGTTTTGTGTGTGGTTTGTCATGTTGTTCTCCTGCTGTGGGTACAATCGAAGCCAAACACTGTCCTGTCCATGTCACTACTTTCAAATGTATTAAAAATTAAAAGTTATTTAAGTGTTATGTGTTACGTGTTACATGTTGTGTGTTGTGTGTTTTGTGGACTCTAGCAGTGTTGTTTGATATATTTTTGGTAAAGTGTGAGTACGTCATAACCAAAGTCATAAAAAGCACTTTTCCTCCACAGTCTTGGCTCGTATCCTGAAATGGCTCTCAGTAACTGTGACTTTAAAAACTCCAGATCTAATCTTTTTCTGAAGGTTGTGTCCAGGGTTGGAAATTAACTTTTTGTTCACCTGCCACTGTGGCTTGTGGACTCCACTCAGTAGATTCCCATTGTGTTTTTAGTTGATGAGTGTATGTGTGCATATTTTAGCAGCATTTGGCTGCTGCTGATCTCCAGCCCTGGTTGGGTCACAGAGGTGTCGGTTATTAAACGTGTGTGCCCAGATGTTGAACAGGTGATCACGGCCCTGAGAAGAAGAATATTGATGTTTTTTGTGATGAATAATGTTGTAAAGACTCCTTCACCACTAAGTCCAATATTACTTGACTTGCTTTTGATGATATTTTGTCCTTTTTGTTGCCCAAAAATCACCATCAGCAAACTCACCTAACTCCATTTGAGTAAAACATAATGTCAGTATGCTCAGAGTCAGCATTGTGTCCACATCTCACTGGGTGAATAAGGGTTTATTTTCAGTCAAGCCAGAGTTGGTGATTGTTGTTGAACAATGTTTTTTTGAACGTTTTATTTGTTTCTGCATGTACTGGGATGTTCCTGGAACACATCTGTGGCTGCATCCCAAGGAGGAGGAGTGTCAGGGTGGGTCAGGGATCTGATGGGACTGTGGAGCTGCTCTCTGTCAGGAGCTGGAGTCAGCACGAATCAGGTTCTCTAACCCCAGCTGGTTTTTCCACATACACAGTCACTGAAATCTCCAGATTCAGCTGGGGTGAAAAAAGAGGCTCAGCTTTTAACTCCTCTGTATACCACTGACAATCATGTTCACTCCACTGATGGCAGCTGTTGGTGCTCACTGTGAAGGCACTTCCCTCAGGCTGAACACACTCAGAGCTCACTGATTCTTGAGAGTCGGGACAAAACACGTTTTAAAAAACTTTTTTTTAAAAATGCACACTATATTAATTAGAGTTATATGTTTCCGCAGAGAAAGGTCTTAGCTATTTAACCATGTAAAGGAACAGGTTCTTAATAAAAACACATTTTTAACAAATAAACATGTTTCCCTTCAGAACTGGATTTGTGTCAACTCCGTCAGACTCACTAAAAAGTATACTATTTTAATTCTTCCATTCCAGCAAGAATCTAAAGTTCTGAAGTATGTTGTTGTAATAGTGTTTAGTTACTCTGATATCTAATAAAATACAATATATAAACTTAAGTTGTGATTTCACACTATTCTGAAAACCCAGATTTCTAAATATTTGCATTTTCAACCTTTGTTTTTAATTTCAATATTGTAAAAACAAATTCCTTAAATAAATAAGACATAAGAGGATGTAGATCAGATGGTCCTTTATTACAAAAAACAACATAAACTGAAGGAAGAATGTTTTTCCCAAAAAATTAACAAAAACATACATGTGATGGTGTTGATGAAGATCTGACGGTGTTGATGAAGATCTGACGGTGTTGATGAAGATCTGACGGTGTTGATGAAAAATGTGTGTGCATTGCTGATTATTAAACAAATGTGCTTTTTGAACACTACTACTAAAACTACTCCTTGTTATTAGAGTATTGAACTTACTGTAAAGCAAATTATAATAAACATATTTAGTGGTGCAGCTTAACTAGACATTCCATAGCAATTGTGCATTTTGTGATAAAAGCGTCAAATTTGGTACACGTATAGCCAAAGACATATAGAAAAGAATTAGATGTGGAGCCATCATGGATTTTCAATATGGCGGCCATGGCAGCCATTTTCCAAAATGGATGCCAGCCACAACTGTTTTTAGATCAAATTCCATATTAACTATGAATATTATGTGACAGAAGCATCAAATTCATTACAGTTATAGCCAGAGACCTGTAGAAAAAAATTAGATGTGGAGACATCATGAATTTTCAATATGGCGGCCAATTTTCAACATGGCTGCCATTGAGAACTGTTTTTAGATCAAACTTCATATTAATGATAGATATTATGTGATAGAAGCATCACATTTGGTACAGTTATAGCCAAAGACATGTAGAAAAAAATAGATATGGAGTCATCATGGATTTTCAATATGGTGGCCATTCAAAATGGGACGAGAACCAGCCATGTCCCCCAGCGCTATCTGAAGGGGGAGGCCTTCGCTTCGGAATGAAGAGTGATCTTCTTTCATGCCTGGAAGATGTTCATAGTGCATATTCTGATGGCCCCAAGGTTATCTGCACTATCGTAGATGGGGCAGCCAACATCCAGATGCTCAAACCAACATCTGTAAAGACCTTCGATGAGTACGCCCAAGAGATTTTCATTCCATATCTCAACAGAAAATTTGGACATGTGACCAGGCTTGATCTGGTGTGGGACCGCTACTTGTCTGAGTCCTTGAAAGCTGCCACAAGAGCAAAGCGTGGGGAAGGCGTGCAGAGACGTGTGGTAGGCTCTGCACGCCTTCCCAGGAACTGGCAAAGCTTTCTCAGAGTTGACAGCAATAAGACTGAATTGTTCACCTTAATCTCAGATGCTCCGCTTGTGGAGTTTGTGCAGGAGAATAAACAGCTTGTTGTCACAAATGGTGTAGAAGTCCTCAGCAAGCCACCACTTCAAGATCTGTCCTCAACTGCTCCACGTACACACGAGGAAGCTGATAGTCGCATGTTATTACATGTGGCCCATGCAGCAAGACATGGCCATCAGAAAATAACGATACAAACTGTTGATACTGATGTGGTGCTGGCTGTGGCAGTTGCTCAGGGTCTCCAGCCAGAAGACGAGCTTTGGTTGGCATTTGGACCTGGAAAGGGTTTTC